TCTCCAATTTATGATCTGAAGCTTATAAATACTTCTCGGGTTACCAGCCATATAAGGTGGTTTGATGGTTTAATGTTTCGAGAACCATCTTTGTCCTCGTGAAGAATTTATCTTGATCTCCAATTGTTTGATGCAATACGGAACTCTGCAGACCGGTTTTATCCAGACTGTCTGTTGTTTATGGTACTCATATTATTGTTTTCAGGATGGATCCCAGTCCCACAGTACGACATAGTTTCTGGTCGGTCGTGATTGGTGGAACATTCTATTGGTTGACAATGTTTTGCTCAAATCAAGCGTCAGTACAGAAGTATCTCTCGGTGGAATCTATTACACAAGCCAGACAGTAAGTTTCCTGTGTTCGTAAAGTGCATTCCCCTCCATTCAAACGAAATATCTCTTTCAGCACCAGAAACAGTTTGCGGTATTTCAGCTTCGCCAGTCTAACATACATTTTGTGCCAGAATATTTGTGTTAGTCCGTGCAGTGCAAGCAGGTTGTATTATAGATTTAAACAGACTGTCTTCTGGATTACAGTGTAATGCAGTAGAAGTTTACCAGACTACATTTGTGGCACTAAAACCTAGAAGACGGCCACCTTCATTAATCAAAACCATTAATGCCTTACAGTGGATGGATTGTAACTAAAATGCAATTATTAAGACTTTAGAGGTGAAGGGGGCTGAGTTTTTTTTATATTTAGTGGTTTGATAAGAAAGATTTATTTTAAGTGCTTAGAGATTTTGTCAGGTTTTGAAAAGCCAAATATAAAATACTATAAGCCTGAAGTAATGTTATATAAGAATTACCTCGCTCAAGTTCTGTCATTCTGTTTCGCCATGATTCCTTGCCGTCACGCGGAAAGTGAAAGTCAAGCTTTGTTTTGTTTTGTACAAACAGGAAGAGTTACGTTAATGGAGAGGTGTTTACGTGCGTATTTCAGAACGCAGCAGTCTCCTGTAAAACATGTATTGTGCGGACTCACCGAAGAGTTTGGAAAGGGGCCTTCGGCCTTCGACCAAACGTGACTAATTGAAATTTTGCCACTCGAATAAGAGAGGTTGCTCTTCACAGCGGATAGTTTTCTAAACAAGTCTTGCTTCATTTAGATGGAATTGTGAACCAGCGCGATGTTCAGTTCTGGGTTAGTGGGCATTGATGTTAGTTTCGTGAAAGAGAGAGAATTTTATGGCAAAAAGAACAATAAAGTATGGGTTGCCATATTGTGCTATGGCCATCTTGCATGACTTTGTGAATTTATGTGGTGTTTCTCAGTGGATTGTGCAAGACCGAGCCAGGCCACACGTGGTTAGAAAAATTTTGTGCTCTTTCGTTTCGGAAACTTTGGCCTTCTGGTGTTTCTTTGCCATTTTCTGGGTCATCATGATTTTTCACTGTTGTGGTCGTACAAGGACGTCATCTCTCATGTAACCGTACTGGAATTATACTTAATGTGTTATGTGCTGAGTAAACTTCAGATGGTTTTCTGATTATGTGATCACAGGGGCTTTGACGTTTAACTTGACAGACATTTCGTACTACGTTTTACAAAGGTCTGGATTTTTTAACACCAGAAAAATTTCAAAGATTTAATAGGGAAAACTTACAAATCTTTTTAATACAAACTTTTTATAATTTCACATTTCATAATATTAAGATGGTTTTGACATTATTTATGCTTATGTAAATAAAATACGTGAACAGTTCTAAGACGTGTGTATGCTGCTAGTCATCCGTCCTAAACGTTTTAAATGTACTGTCAAGTTTCTATTTTTATGATTGTTTTAATGTTTGCAGAGCCTTGTGGGTCAGTTGTGGTGGCCTGATTTTGATTTTCACCATAAATTTCTACACGGGAATGATCATGTATGCCGCATACCATGACTGTGACCCCCTTAAGAATAGTGTGAGTAATGCAGTCGTATTTAACATTTTGTGGTCATTCGGTACTTGGGGACAGCCCACGGTTATTTACAGTTTTGTACGTATTATGATTATATAAAGAGTGGTTTTTCCGCCTTAGTTTGTGAATATTCCTTGCTTGAATCTTGACTTGGGAACAGAATACAACTTCTATTTTCATTTTGCTTCTTTGGAAATAGGCTGTGACTAGTCCCCCCCCCCCCCCAAAAAAATGATAATTTTCTTATGTTATCTGTTGCAATGTCAAAGGTCTAACTCAGGCTAAGAGCAGGAAGGGGTAGGCTGAATTACTTAGAAGCTCAAATCATATAATATAATTACATGAAAATATTTTTAAGTTGTAGTTCATGAAGACAAGCAAATTTCTTTAGAATCTCATGATATATGTCGACTTGAACGGTACTATAAAATAAATATCAAAACAAAAAGAACATTTTGTGAAAATGTTGATATTCAAAAGAAGATTTAGGAAAATCCACGTTCTTCGTAAATAAAATTTACGCTAAAAAAAGTTAGCTAATTACAATTGAAGAATGAGCCCAAGACAGTCAATTGTCAACTCGACATGATGTACCCTGTGGCGTACTTTCTTTATTTGCAATTTATCTTTCAGGAAATTACAGCACGTGATCAGCTGCTTCCTTTGTACGTGATGACTTACATGGGACATTTACAAGGTGTGCCTGGCTTGTTTGTAGCAGGAATATTTAGTGCATCTCTTGGGTAAGTATTAAATGTTTCCAGTGCTGACTAGTCCTTACAGTTCTGTTCTATGACTAGTCTTTCGTAGACGTAATACGAGTCG